AACCATAGCTCTGATCAAATCGGTCATTCGGGAACAGAAAGGTTTCCTATTCGGACAGAAAGCGATGATCGCGTTTCATACGATAAAAAGGATTCATGCAAAAACGGGAATAGCATAAAAGCGATACAGGCATAAAGTTACGCACTAATACATAGCTCAAGCCACCCGTTACATCGACCTCGATATTACCTCGGTAGTGCAATATATGCCCAGGGTAATTTTCTCGGTTATACGCGAACGAGTTTGTTTTGGCTGGTAATATCGCCCCTCTGCGCCCGCGAGCACTTTTTCGACACAAAATTTTCCATCTCTCTCTCAACTACCAGCCGCAGTTTTTGTTCCCGTCCCTCTTCGACGACAGAGAGACAACACACACGACGGAGACAACACACCCGTTGAAAAATGTATCCACCATGGGATCGAACCCCTGTCCCTGAAAAACCACTAACCTTCCGACGAAAAAGTTATTACGCAGACAAAACACGTTGCCAGGTGGAGTTTATTCCGCTGAACCTCCTCCTGGACTATGCTCGATGGGAAGTTTTTTTTTTATTTCATAAACGCCGCTTTCGACGTAGTGCGCATTCTCGAAAAAAAAAAAAAAAGAAACAGTGACAAAAATCGAAATATCCGCTTGAAACTATGTGACGGTTTAAAGAAATGCTTCGTGCAAACTATATGAGCGATCGTTCTGTCTAGATTTATTTTCACGCTCGTATAAAGTATAATCAGTTTCTTTTCCACGAAATGAATTATTTCTAATCGCGGAGTTATTAAATAAATTATGTATAAATACACACATAAATTCAAATCGCGTTACTTATTCTAGTATATCTCGTTTTATTAGCACAACTTTCTTTGTATAAAAAAAATTTATCGAATTATCGGTTTTCCGTACGATCTCACGACAAAAACAGACTTGTCATTCGCAGGATTAATCTGCTTTAATGGAGCGACTCTGGCAATATTATTTCTGCATTTTACTGCTCGCGAGAGATCGAGTTATTTTCTCCAAATGATGGCAACTCGTTGTGATATTGCCAACCTTTTCAATTAGATCTGCAAATCCTCTTCGAATTTCACCGACCGACTTACCGCCGATTTTGTCGGGTCATAAACGTTTCGACAATTGCATCAAGCTTATGCGGACGCTAATCAATGCTAATTGCTCTGACAGTGTCATTCTTCATTACGTAAAAGGTTGAAAAACAAAAGTGAAGAAAGACAGAACGCAAAGAGAAAAAACTGCTATCTTTTTATAAATATGAATAATATTTTTTCTGTCTTAAGAGACATCTAGCAATAATTACGACTAAAATTAGTATAAAATCAGTGAACTCACGCTTTTACACTTGTTAAATAATACCTACGTTTACTACAATATAAACGTGCTACTATAATATAAACCACTGAAACAAAACAATGATACAAATTATATTTTCCACACTTTAGAAAAACAAAAGTTTGTGAAAGTACTTTATATAAAATATGTTTGCAGATATTTTATTACAGCGTACTCTTTGTGAAAGAGAAAAAGTGTAAATTTATGTTACGCCAGAAAATAATTAACCCTTTGTTCCCAGCGGGTCGTCAGCGGCAACTCGACGAATTTTTCGTCCTTATGTAAGGACTCGCAATGACAAGTCTTAACTCGGTAGAAAATTCATTTTAAACATTGTCAAAAAGAGAAGTAATTTTAATGTAGTATCATATGATATATAATATTGCAAAAATATTGATGAAAAATGTATCGTGAAGAATTAATTATTTTAAAATTAACATCGAAAGTTATATTCTTTAATACTATATCCCAGCTTCAAGTGAATAAACAGACCGAAGTTCATTACAGATACTATCAAATAACCGATGATTCGGTACGCGGATTTTATACAAAATAATGAGTGACATTTTTCGTTATCTGATGAGTGATTAGAATATGCTTCAGTTGTATTGCACTTAGCAACAGTAATAATCTCGACGCTCAATATTCTCGAAGGGGACGTACGCGTTATCGTCGATTAATTGCAAACCACGTAGAGGTTTCGAGGGGCTATTAATTGGACTGTTATTAATTCAACATGTACCCCGCGAGTTTCCTTCCGGATTCTCGATATGAGATCGCGGATCGTAGTTAGTATCGCAATTAGTTTTGCAGTTAGCAACCGATTATAATTACATATTAATTAGTATATATATATATATATATATATATATATATATATATATATACATTAATCAGGATATTAATACACATATATATTAATGGCACAAATACACACTTATGTGATTATATAATTTTTACGCAAACATCATTGTTCTGTTGTCCTATCAATACTTTCTTCGTACATTTCTTATTTGACAATGAGAAATGAATTTACGAAGAAGTTTAATTGGCGGAAATATTGTATTTTGTATTACAATATCTGATTCCAGGCAGAGAAAACTAGAATTTAAAATCAAGTGAAATTAAATGAAATGGAAATTTATTGTTTCATTATTTTGTCCTTTAAGAAAGAATATTTCTATATGCGTCAATTATTTTATTTCCTACAAATCAATTGTTGAGATACGATATACCTCAACAAGGAAATACTTTTATATTAAAAAAGATTTCTAAAAATTGTATTTGCCATTGTGTTACTATTAACATTTCAGGGATACATAATTAGCCACGTGTTACGTTGAGAAATATTTACCTGGACTACACTTACAATTAGTTTACATCTACCTATTGATTTAGCTCTTCGTCCCGAGTAGAATCAACTCTACTATCGTGAGGGATTTTACGAAATGATTACCGAAACACGATTAGAGAGAAGCTGTCGCTCGACACGCGACATTTAATTAGACAATAATTAACGCTTGCTCCAATTTCAAAGTCCTGCTCGGTAAACAGAAGTTGCTAAAAGATACTCGTTGAAACAATAATATCCACAACTGTGTAATGAAGATATAATACAAAAGAAAAATTTGTACTTTTGATTCTTTATCTTTTCATCCGACTATTCTATACATATTTTTATAAAAAACTTTATGCAGAGTTTTTTTTAATTTTATAAATATTATTGTTCCTACAACATTCAATATAATTGATTTATCTACTAAATAAAGTATGTCGAATAATTAAAATGAGTACCACTCGTGAAAGTAAGGCAATTAGTTCAGCTTTATTATCTAGCATTATAATCCAGAAAGCGAGCTGCTTAAAATAATCAAAGCACTACTGAAAGTTTGATCATAATAGCAGTAATTATGAATTCTTTTTGGTGCTATTCGTTCCGATAATATAAGCGGTATATTCGTCATTTTTATTTATGATTGCGGCTTTTACAGCTTTTATTAACCAAAAGAAAATCAATATCTAAAATCGTTAATTCTTGCTGAAATACGCGCGGCGTGCGACGATAATTAAACTCCATTAAGAATGTCCGATATTAGCGAAATAAAAATAAAAGCGGATAAAAGTATTTCAAGATACTCGTTGATGAAATATAATATATAGTTTTCCTTTATTAAAAGTATTCGTCAAAAATGTATCGTGTTTTACTTCCGCGATGTGTTTGAATAAATTTTACATGTCATTATTATTTTCGCATAATTCACAAAAAAAAACAAAATTCTATTCTATCTTTGAAAACATTAGAGATGTAAAAGTGTTTAATTAAATAGCTTATAAAGCATTTGGGGATATAAAGTATTTTATTCGCGTGCGTGTACAAAATACCGTTTTTTCACGACGAACTAAGTGCAGGTGTTTCGAAAATTTCAGCGAGAAACAAAAAACGAGTTGGACTAAGGGGCAAACGGAGAAAACGGCGGTGTGTTGCTCGGTAAAGCACCATAAAGTCTCATTGGCTTTAATTCGGTCGTATCCTGCTGGCCACTGGGAGTGATTAATCGTAAGGTTACTACAACACGAAAGCACCTTACTACCAATCATTCTCTACGATGCTTTAAAAGGAAGTCAACAGTGTTGCTTAATGCATTTTTCCCACCTAATTGACTATATGTAGTTGTTCTCCGAAAAAGTAAAGTCAGTCAACTATTTTATCAAAGGTATTCTTATTTCTAAATTGAAACAAAATATACGCTATTTAAAAAAATTGCATAAAATTACAAATTATATGTTTGGTAACATCACGTGGTTTTTTAAGAAGTTTTCTGTCATCCGGCATTCTCAACGACTACTGAAAATTTGCCTGTGTATTTATTAAAATTTATTATAAAAGGAAGAAGGAGCTTTCGGTTAATGGCGATGAAAAATTCAACTACTTTTAAAAGGAAGGGAAGAAGGTCGGTCAATGTTTAATCTTTAAATAGAACAGGATATACATTCTCATTGTATCTCTTATTAAATCTTGGAAGTTTTTAAGACCCATCTTTAATTTTTTATTGTGCCCTTCCTCCCTCTTCCTCCCTTAAATTGCTGAAGAAATCTGTAGATGAAAATATAACAAACTTGCGACCTTGTACATCAAAGTAATATTTCTTATTATGGTGCTTTGCCGAGATAGAAAATAAAATATACATAATGCCTATCTTTCAAAGCTTTAAAACCATTATATATATATATATATATATATATATATATATATATATAGGTCAATTTTTTCGACAAATAAAATATATGTATAATGTATTATATAGTATTTATACTTGAGACTGTGTGTAATTCCAATAAATATGGTAAATGTTCAGAAATAAAGCACTCCTTGTAAATCCATTCGCCGATATTTAAAAGTATATTTAAAATGTATCATCCATCGAACACATAATCCGCGGACTTGTAATGCGCGTGCAGATCACGTGAAACAAAATGAAACGCTTATGAATTCTTGAAGAGTACGTTTATTTCCCGTGGCTTATAAATATACATGCCCCACCGCTTATTCCGCGGTACAGAGAACCGGCGGTATTTTCTTTTTTTTTTTCTTTTTTTTGTTTTTATTCGACCGGTGAAACGTTGATTGAAAGCGTGCTTACTACTGTTGCTGTTTCAGCTGCGCGAGTACACCCTGACCGAATCGTATCACGAAGACGACGTCGAAGTGGAATTCGTCAGCAACGACAATCTCCAAGCGAACAGCGAGACTCCCCGAGGAATCGATCCGAACAGGGACCTAAACGAGGCCATAGCCGAGGAACGAAGGGAAATGGACACCCAGAGATACAGGTACGCATCTCCATACACTATCGCTTTTCTCGGCCACCCTCGTCAAACTTTTTACTTTGTATTTTTGCGGATTAACGGGAGTAGAAAATCACGCTTTGCCGCATGCATATTTGATAAACGGACTGCCAAAAATTGCCAATTTTCGCCTATTTTACATATCTGCGTTTCGAATTCAATCAGTTCAATCGAATGGATTAAAACATTCGAAAGAAGAAATCGGGAGGAAATTTTAATTATCTCGACCGAAATTTGGAATATTTATAGAATCTAGAGCGTGAGTTATTCCTTGCGTATACATAAATGAATCATTTTTCTCTTCATTATTTAAATAAGCGTGATTAAATACAGCTGCGGTATATAAAAAAGGCTCTCCGAATGTATATAGTATAATTTAAAATAAAATATAACAGTTATAGTGTAATTTTATTCAATTTTTAATACATGTGAAATGTTATAACTCCGTAATTTATTATTTAACTAAATACAAAGCTATTTACGATGCAACTTTTTCGTGTACGCTTCTTAAAGTATTCACATTAGATTGAGAAGGACTATAGAGGAGACACACCCGTACCTCATAAATCCACGGTTAATAAAACCGAAGGTCCGAAAAAAGTCCGAAGTTCGAGTCAGCTCGTTAAGCCTAGCACGTCTTTGGGTTTTAGTTCGTCCAAGACGTCACCTTGAGGCGAGGCTCTTAAACTTGGGAACGGCAGATAGTAAATGGTCGCCTTTCTTGGACGATATGAGAGAGGATCGCATAAGCGACGAGTATGTATTCAATGGAGGAGCGACAGTCGCGTATCGATATCGAATTTTGGAAACGGCGTCATTGACTGCCCGAAAGCGGTCTTCGCGTCTACTGAGCTTTTCTCCCTTGCTTTTTTCCCTGTCGCACAAAGAGCGAAGAGGCAAACGTGCGCAGAAAAGCATCGAATTTTATGGCAGGGTGATGCAAACATTGAGCTACCTTGCTCGTGAACGTGACATTTGCTGTTGTCAGACCTCCGTCGAGAGGAGCAGATCTACAGTTCGAGAAATAACAGTATCGGTTTTTCGAACAATACGCACGGTTCTTTATATAGAGTTTCTTTCGAAATATAAATTTGATAAAGAAATATTGCAAAACAACGGTATAGCATTTTCGATGAAAATAAGGTATTTCCCAAAAGTCATAAAAGAAAAACTCGAGAATTCCAGCTTCAATCGCCGCACACTTCTCAGATAGTTTGCGACACGTGTTCGCGTGAGAGACCTTCTTTTCCTTCCAGTGACCGATACCATCGGCCGCCAAAGTATTGACCTTTCCTCCCGGGACACTCGCGTTTCTCGCCTTATGAAAGGCTCGGTACACGCTCGAGAAGAGATCCATCCAACCCCTTCGCCGCTCTCTTTTATGACATGAACTCGGATCATTCTCCTTTGCCTTCCACCGGCATCTCTTCATGCCCTTACGAGATTGTTCTCGTCTCGTTCCTTCGCAGCGTGCATCTTCTCGCTCTATTTCTCTCTGTAACTTTTACGATGGAGAACTCGGGCTCGAAGAGAGGCTCGTGCACATAAAGATCGCGAGTCTTCCCTTTTTTTCCTCTCACAATGTGTCAACCTTACTCGAGTCTCGAAAAAATCACCTGACTCGCTCGGTGACATTTGACAACTCGATACAACGTTGTGTAATAATGGAGCAAAACCCTCGTGAGAAAATGCATTCGCTGGCAACACAACTTTTCACTTTCGCCATATCGCGCAAGACGCTCTCTCGAGTCTCTTCAGTTAACTTTAATAAAATTGTCTACTTTCTATTTCTAATACACCATAAGCACGCAAACTGTGAATTACTGCTAACACCGTTCGCCCCAATTGCACGAGAATAAAAGTTTAAGAAGAATTTATGGGGATGTTTTAAGACCACTTTTCCACAGCACAGGTATAAAATGTGCTTGTATTTCCAGATCCGAAATAAAACCCTTCCCTATCTAGATCATTAAATAATAAATGATGTTATATTTTAATTTCGCGCGACATGAACATTCTTACAACTGATTCATTGCTCAATTTATAACAGTGCAATTTAATAATGATCTAAATTTCCTATAACTTGTTAATAACAAATTAACTATATAATATAATAATTAATTCTCTTACAAAATTTTGATCTATCATAAATGTATATAAATTACACTTTTCTTAGATAAATTTAATTGAATAAAAATATTCGTACTTGCAAATGTATAGTTTTTCATAATATAATTTTTTCTATGAAAAAATAGCTGTGCGTGTATGTGTGTAAATACGAATCTAGTTTGAAAAATATAGAAACCAACAGTATAGACTAATTGACGGTCAGGATGTATTGTACGCGACGAAAAGTAATATTCGCTTTCGTTTATCGAGCGGAAAACCCAGCTACCCCTCGAGCCGCAAATGCAATTTATCGTGAAACACAGCTAGTCAGATTGGGTAGGACGCAGTCGACATTGAATACCAATAACGATATTACGCGTCCGTGGGTGTCGCGTCTGATTCTACTCGATGACTGCCAACTCAAACACAAACTCAAATATAACCTATTACCCTCGATATGATATTACGTACTACGCACGACGATGTTCTTACATTTTTTTTATTTTATTATCTTTATATATATATATATATATAATATATATATATATATAACCCGCAAACGCGCGTGGAAAGTACACTTTCAAACCTTCAGACTTTGAAGTTACTCGAGATCGACCATCGGGGCGACTTTGTCGGACTTTTATCATAATGAAAGTAAATCATGGGATACTTTCATTAACTTAGATGAAAGTCAGAAACGTTTATGTGTATGTAGACATAGTTCAAACAAATGGCATATTCAAACTTTCCTTGAATCTATGAAAGTATAAAATAGCAAAAAAGTTTATAATTATATTAATATGCTCTAACTCTTTTGTATTTTAGAATTTTTATTTTAGCTTGTAAATCTATTACGCAATTATAAATAAATAATAGGAGAAAAATAAATGTTTCTAATCGGTATATATATATAATTCTATCGTCTCCCACATTCATATATATTCTGATACTTTTCATATGGAGCCTATTGATATATTTCTAGATATACGTATTCCAAATATTATTTATATTTTCTCTAAACTTAGAGCATTATTAAGTTTTTCGGAAATTAAACGAGCTTATTTTCTGAAATCGTGACCGGACAGTTTTGATATCCGATAGATGATTATGATATTAATTTTCACGGATAATTCGCGACAATTTCTGAGATAAGTGTTCGGCAATTCTCGCCATAATATCCGATTGGAGGTTAAAAACCGACGAAAAATACATCGTACGATTGCGAGAAAAGCTTGAAAATAAAGTTCTAACGTACCGGTTTTCTCTCTCATACGTCATCTCCTACATTTTATATTTGTTTTACTTTTACTGAAGCGAACATGGCTGACGGAGATTTTCATGACCTCCAATTTCGATCAAGCTGTCCGACGAAATTGGGAAATAAAGGAGATATTTTCTCCGGAAGAGCTGACCGTGCGTAGAGCGAAATATTACGTAGTTGGCGAAAAGATGGTTTCTTGTAGGAAAACCCGCAGACGTGAAATACATATATGTTATTATTTTTTAATGTTCGACGTAGGCAATATTAATAAATTAAAGTATCGGAAAAAGAATCAGATTTTCTCTTTATTAATTTTATAATTATTATTTATTTAAATATATTTGCTTTGCTACTCTAAAGCGCTCTGAAGAGATTTCTACTTTGAAATAAAAAGATGAACGAGAGTTACACGCGTGGAAAGAAATATTCTTCATATTCGATTATACTTTCATCAGACTAAAGATCGGTTATTTCGAGTATTTGCGTCATGTATCAATAGTTGCTGTCATATATCTTTTATCAATATATTACAATCGTATTCGCGCTCGTGTCGATTCCTACAATTCGCCAAACAAATGATTCCACTCTCGCGTGTGTTCTACTTTCGACCACTCTATCATATATCCTATCAATAAAATCCAATCTATGATGCATTCTTATACTTCAATATCCCATTCTGACGCAACAAAGCCGATCAGGATAAAATTCCGAACGCCGTACGAAAAGAAAGATGTAAACTCTCAACAATTCCGATTATACGACGATCGATCGGAAGAAACCGCAGCGAAAAATACATCCGATGCTTTCAAACACTCTGTAATTTTTCGTGCTTTTCTATCATTGCGTAATTAACGTCTCAAAGATGACTGACGCGATAAATCGGAAGAAGGCCGCGAAAAATCTC